TTTTTTTTGTTTCTGACCGGGTGGAACAATTCACTTTAACCTCTTGTCAGTGACACAGCCTGTTGACTGGACAAAGGACTGCTGTTTATCTGGGTCTTGGATCAACTCTCAGTCTCCATGGAATGATGTTTCTGCCTCTGGCGGTCTGGGATCTGCTGTGATGGGTGGGTTCACTGTGTGAATAGGTCAGTTAACTTGGTTGAGAGACTAGGTTCGCAGAAACAACAAGGAGTCTGGTGGCACCTTAAAGACTAACAGATTTATTTGGGCATAAGCTTTCGTGAGTAAAAACCTCACTTCTTCGGATGCATAGAGTGAAAGTTACAGATGCAGGCATTATATACTGACACATGGAGAGCAGGGAGTTACTTCACAAGTGGAGAACCAGTGTTGACTAGGTTTGCAGAGAGCAGCATGGCAGTGATTTTGTGGAGTGGGGGTTGTGTCTCTCCTATGAAATTGTGAGATGTGCAGAGATGATACACTCAAGGTCTGATTTTTTTTCTCAACTGCATATGCATTTTCACATATAAACTTATCAGCTTCCTGTGCAAATGAGGAGGTCCCTAGCTGATGCCTTCCTGGTGGAGATGCTGTCAATGTCTGTGCAGTCATGTAAATCAGGTATGCAGCCTGAACCTGATGCTTAGCTTTCTGTGTCAGTCTGACATGCCTAGACCCAGCCTTGATCGTGGCACAGGATTCCTTCTGCACCTACCGGGCGGTAGGAACATGTTTCTGCCTCTCTGAAACACCTTGTGTCTGAAATCAGGCCTTGGAAATCTTGGAATGGAGGAAACTGATCATGTATCTTCAGTACAGATTAAATTATTTTTTTTAAAGTTGGGAGCTAGTAAATTCATTTCCCCACTGTTTTGTTTCGATGTATATATCTGTATCCTCTGGTCCTCACTGCCGGGCCAGGGCCTGCTCCCTTGTACCAGGTTCAGATGTGCATGGCAGGCTCCAGGCCCTGCTAGCTGACTTTCTAAGGAGGCAGCGAAGTGTTGCTTCTTTTAGCCCTAGGCCAGAGGTGAGCAAACTACAGGGCACATGCGGCCCGCGGGACCGTCCTCCCCGGCCACTGAGCTCCTGGCTGGGGAGGCTAGCCTCCACTGCTCTTCCCCTTCCCCGCAGCCTCAGCGCGACGTGCCACCCGTGCTCTGGGCAGCATGGCTGGCTCTGCCCGGGCCGTGCAGCTGCGAGCTCCTGCCACTCTGAGCGGCATGGTAAGGGGGTGGGGGGGCTGGATAAGGGGCAGGAGGTTCTGGGGGCAGTCAGGGCACAGGGAGTGGTTGGATGGGGGGGCGGTCAGGAGACGGAGCAGAGGGGGTTGGATAGGGGGTGGGATCCCAGGAGGGGGTTTGGATGGCTCGGGGATTCTGAGGGCGGGAAGTGGGGGCCAGGCTGTTTGGGGAGGCACAGCCTTCCCTACCCGGCCCTCCATATAAAAAGTTTGCCCCGGCCCGAGGGATGCTCTTGTGCGCAAATGCCGGCCGCGCGGTCCGTAGCGCATGCGCAGGGCAGCCCTTCGCCCCCGGCCCGTTTCGGGCGGATCCCGGCTCAGACATGACCTGGAAGAAGCTCTGTGTGACCCGGAAGTGCCTGCTCTCCAGGTTGCCTAGCATGGAGGGGCTAGAGAGCGCTCGGCTGGCGTAGGAGGTAGGTAGCCGCGGGCTGCCCAGGGAGAGCGGTTGGGTCCAGGCCCGGGCCCGTTGCGGGGACGCCGCGCTGCGTCCTCTCGTCTGCTGTGTGCTCCACCGCCCTTCCTTGTGCCCTTCCCCGCCGCCCCGCTTTCACCCGCAATAGCCAGTCTGGCTGGAAACGTCCCTTTCTCGCTCTTTCAGCGCGGCCTGAGTGAGCGGCTCCCCAAGAAACAGCGCAGCCTCCTGAGAGTCAGCGAGTCAGGGCGCGCCGGGCCGCGCCGGGCCGCGAGCACCGTTCTCTCAAAGCAGGGCGGTGTGAGCCCGGTACGGCCCTGGCCGGCGTTCGGGGGCTGCTGAGATCTGCCGCCCTGTCCGTGTGTAACCAAACCTCAGCTACTGCAGAATGGACGGGTCCCCGGTCCTGGTCACTCAGCCTCGGGGCACCTCCCGGCCTGTCCTGGCTGTACGTGAGGACTACGGGGGGGCTGTTCTGGTTCCTGTTACCCCCCCCCCCCCCGCGAAGTCTTGCTGACTTCAGTAGGTTGTTCATTGCAGTGCTTTCGTGAATCTGGGCCACACTTTGTCGAGATGCTACCAGTATTACCTGTCCTGAAAACCACAGCTGCTGGTATCTCTGGGGCATGATTTCTCAGGGTGCTGGGCACCCACACCTCTATTTGAAGTCAGGGCAGCTGCAGCCGCTCAGCACACCTGAGAATCAGGGCCTGGGGTGTTAAAGCTGAAATAACTTTTCTCTCTGCTGTTTTTAAGGATGCAGGACAGTACAGAGTCACGTGTCTGTGATTTCTTCCTTATTCTGTCACTGACTTTCCGTGTGACTTTTTTTTTTTTAAGCAGGAAATGGCACAGAAGTTTCATTAGAATAGTTGTTTTTGCTTCTCAAATAAATAGGAGTTGTGGATAAATACTCAGCGCCAGATGCAGCATCCCACTGAATTCTCAGTGCCCTCTTGGGGTTGCCCTTGAATACACCCCTCCCGGTGTTACAGCCCCTTGTTTCTTTCGTTG